AAGGGTAAAGAGGTTTTCAATAACAACCCACAGCATGTTGGGACAGTAGTCTAAGAAAATCTTTTAAATAGCCTTTTACAATGCAAACATATCTGTTTTCAGCTTGTTTCAGCTTTTCCACATAGGCCTGGCCATCAATATATGCAGAAAGCTCTTCAAATAAAACAGATTACAAGAATTAAACCCAGTCACACAAAATAAAAATGGTTGTTCTTAATCAGCACATGAGCTGCAGGCAGGGCCTTCTGGCACTTTCACAACTGTCCTAGCATTTGAAATGCCCTTTTTTTTTTTTTTTGGTAGTTACCATATAAACCCACTACAGGTAACCTCAGATTCCACTAAGGACTGAGAAACTATTTTATCCTTCTGAATGCTGTGATTCAAGGCAGCTGCCTCCTTTGTACACAGCGGAGATTATACAGCTGAACAACCTAGTCATACACCTCCAGAGATAGAGAAATCCGGTTATCCAGCATTCCTCTTTCCTGAGGGTGGTTCCTGAGCCTTTAGGATGCACATTTCCAGATCTTACCCAAAGCAAAGAACAGGGTGCTTCTTTTTGTCTCATTAAGCCAGCTGCCTTGCCAAATCCCCTGGAGACAGGAATTGCAGTCGAACAGTTTAAGGTACAGCTGAGGCCAACAGCATGCTCAGCACCAGGACTAACACAACCCAGTGGCCCGGGTGGCTGGCAGGTGTCTGCCCAGCCAGAACCTCCACAGGGACCTTGCACCCTCCTTCATGCAGCTGCCGGAAACCTGGCCCGTGCTCTCAGGGCCTGCGCACAGAGACCAACTCCCCAGACAGTATTTGGAAAGCAAAGCCTTTCTCCATACATCGGTAATGCCTGATTTAACCCAATTCCTCTTTGCCTGACTGCTATCACTAGAATGCTGTAAATCCCAGGAGTGCGGACTGAGTTGGTTGACAGGGAATAATTTGGTCCCAGAGGGCAAAGCTGAAGTTTTTTGCATGAAATAATCTTGAGTGCCATACCGTAACACTCAGCCAAACCCCTCAATGCTGTATGAAAGTGCTCAGGCTTTGGAAAAAGCCTCTCAAGCTGTTGTGAGAAGAGCAGATTTCATGGGCGGGGGCAGAGAACACAGGGAAAAGGTTCTAGTTGAAACTTTCCATCTTCTAGTCAGTGCTCACAGCAACTTTTAATCACGTTGCTAAATCCAATAAGATTATGATCGTCTCCTGCTCAATGAAGTTACAATATGGGAAGAAGCTACAAGGCATTTGTTCACCCACTGTTGCCCACACCCCCAGGTCCAGCACTGTGCACCTCCGGCTCAGGAACACTGCAGCTGAGCAGCACAGCTTTGGCAGCCTACGCTTTTTGCTGCTGCAAACAATTACCTCAGCTAATCTTTACACTCCACTTTAAGCAAGCAGTTTATCCTCTCCCTGTGTAAGCTGCTAAAATCACCTTTCAATTAATTAATTGGCTGAATTTGGCAACATAGTTTAAACCCACCAGCAACCCCTTCAATTTTGTTAGGCAGAAAATTACAAAATGTTTTCAGAGGCACCACAGAAATCCCCTGCAGGATAAGGGAGAGCTTCAGAGCCCCCAGCTCAGGGCTTGTGGTTTTCTTTGAGAGTGAACAAGGCATCAGGGGCTGCCCCCAGACCCTTGTGGGTCAGGGACCTCAACCACATGCTCTGTGTCAGATCTCATCCCTCAGACACCTGCAGCATGAAGTGTGCTGGATGCCCCACAAGCAGCATCTGCCCTCCCCAGGGAAAAGGCAGCACTCACGATTTCAGGAATGAAGAGCACATCTGGGAAAGTTGTCAGGACAGCCAGGCCACTGGGCAAAGAAGTGGTAGAAGTTGCTGAGGACATTGTGAGCCTCTCCGACGGTGACTGTTAGCTGCTCTGGCTCTAGCTGCTGGAGGCACCTGCCAATTGCAACCGCCTCCTTCCCACTCTTCCTCCTTCCCCGTCCTTCCTGTTGGCAGGTGAAGACAGCTATGAATGGCACAGGTGTGGCCAAACCCTGTGACCAGGGGTTAGCTGGTGGCTGAAGGGAGCCACGCAAGAGATTTTCAGGAGACGTGGGCAGCCCTGAGGCACTTTGAGCAGAGCTGCCTCTACACAAGCTGAGCATGCAGGGCAAGTCCCTGGGCAGTGGTGGGCAGCACTGGCTCACAGCTGAGGGCAGTAGGGAAGACCTGTACCCCCTGGCCGGGCAGCCTCTCATCCCCTTTATTAGCACAGTAAGTGGGCTTGCCCCCCCCCCAGGCGAGCTGGCCACAGCAGAGGCACATCCCAAGACAAGGACAGTTGAATTCCGGGGCTAACTGTTTCCATCATCTCAGAAGGAGATTGTATATGCTAAGGTAACAAAAGTGACCTAAAATAATGAGATTTCCCAAGCCATTTGGCTTCCTTTTTTTTTTTTTTTTAGTCTGAAGTCCATGGGAGTCATTCCCCTCTCCATAATATGGCGTTTACTTTTGAACACGCTTCACTTACTTGGATAACCAGTAAAACCACACAACTCTGGAAACTAAGGCCAAAGACATGAAACACCAGGAAAATAAAAGGAGCGATGTGGCGATGCGCACTGCTGTGGACCAGTGACCCATGGAAGAAGTGCCCATTTCAGCCAGGCCCTATATATTGTGGTGCCATACACGAGGCTTTGGTGCAGGGTCTGGAGCAGGAGGTAGGACTGCCTGGTTCCCAGCCTGGCACATGCGGCTCTGATAGCTGCCGCCGTCAGCTCTGGCCCAGAGCCTCCAAGCCAGCCTCCTCACAGCTGCAATGAGGCACGTTCAGTCATCGTGGCGCTGCTCTCCACGACTGCAGCAGCTGGTGTTCCAGCCCTAGGGCAGCAACGGGGTGCCCTGGGTAGCACCAAGTGTGGCTGCAAGGCTACATGAGCCGGCTGCATTGGAATAACGGTGGCGTCTGCACCATCGGTGCAGATCCTTCTGGCTGGGAGCACGATGGGTTCATTCTGCAGCAGGCTGGCAGGCAGGAGGAAATGGGGAGAGTTCTGCAGGGAGGAAAGGAATAAACACCTGCCCTGAATGGAAGGGACACAGAGACTGGGGACATCAAGTGCAAGAAAGGAAGACAGTGTAAAAGCTTTCGCTGGCAGAGGAAGCAGCGGGGCTGATGGCTGGAGGAGGCTGCAAAATCAGAAAAACTGAACAAATGCTTTTAATAAGCAGATTCAGTGAGGGGGATGATGCCCGCTTTAGGGACCTCCCCAGATTATTTTATACAGTGTACACAAGAATGTGACCAGAAAGAGAAGAAACATCTGGCATGGACCTCAGCCCAGGTGGTTTGGAGTAGCAAACCTGACTGAAAAACAATGATCACTAGGACTTGCTATAAGCATTGCAAGGACAACGAGTACCTGCAAAGTCCCAGGGAACCCTTGGCAGGACGTGGCAGACTGGCTCCAGGGCTGCTTGAAGAGGCCTGAGAGAACATTATGCCCGTAAGTGTATGCCCTTCATACGTCCAGCAATTTCCCCCACACCAAAAGTACCTGGATTGAAAGCTGTTGCTGGTCCTCATATTCCCTTGGCAGCCCTTCAACAGCCCCACAAACACTGGGGCTCCACGCTTGTCCTGCTTATGGTCCCAAAGTTCTGTCGCTCTTGCTGGAGTCCAGCTCCAAAATTGCAAACATCCAGCAACTTCTCCCACACCAAAGGTGACAGGACCTAAAGCTTTTGCTGATCCTCTCCTTCCCTGTTCAGCCTTCTTCAAGAGCCCCTTAAAGAGGTTACTCCTTGAGGCTGAGAGATTCCTTGCCGCAGCGGATTCTCTGTAAGTGGAATTAGCATGCTAAACTTTGAAATCTTAGCTAAGTGATACAAAGGATTGATTTTGCATATATAATCCTTTAGACATAAACCGTTGACCAACTCTGTGACTGGATCCAGCCAGACCTAGACTCCTCTCCAAGGAAGGAGTCTAGAAAGCAAGGCCGACCTTTCTAAACCTCACAACTCAACGGGGGTGTTATCTCAAATCTGTGTGCTTTACCCAGTGTGCAACGACACACACTGAGTTGAGATATCTGCTTTTATTTCCTTGCTGCACAGAGATGGGTGCTAGGTGGTAACTCCACAAAGCTAGCACACCATTCCAAAAACTTCCATGTATTTTTCTTGTTACATGATTAAAGAAAAAACCACCTAAGTTCCTATCTATTGCCTAGTGATCACTGTATCATTTGTTATTGGTTAATTATATTTAAATTAGCCTCACTTGCTGTGTAAATTGGCACACATGCTCCTTGTTGGTGGGAGGGGGCAAGTCTCTTCAGGTTTGATTTGAGTCAGCGGTCACGATCTCCTCTCACCGCCTTCACCTTCCCCCAGTTACCACAGGTCTTAGATGACCTCATGCCTCTCTAGCATTTATCCAGCCTTTGGCTGGGCCTTCTGAGTCAGGATGTTCCCCTTTTGTTGGTCTTTTAGCTCCTCTTCAGGGGTACAGTAACCGGTTCCTTTCACACGCTGGTAAGGCAAGTAGTTCCTTATCTCTTAGCTCCTTCTAACCTCCAGATCCTGTTACACAGGATTCCTTGTTCCCACTCAGTGAGAAATTCAGTTTTCTGTGGCATATAAGGAGGGTCTCCCCGACAGTTTCATCTGACCCTGTACTGTATGCAGTAAATAACCAAGCGTACCTTGCCATCGAATCTTATAAACCACTGTCGCATTTACCATCGAACTTTGTTAACTCACCATTTTATATCAATAAACTACATTTTCGCTTCTCTCTCACTCTATCCACGGCCAATTGGCATAGTCAGCACAACAGCAAGTAGGATCACTGATTATTTGGGCTCATGACATTTGGCATAACAGGGAATCCCTTTAAGAGCACCTAAAAGTAACTAGAGGCCGCACAAAGGATGCGAAAGGGAAAGGAGTTATCTGTGAGATGCTAGATGCCAGTTTAGAAACTGCCTATCAAGAAAGAGAGAACAGAAATAGAAAGGACGAGGACCTAGAGAAAGAAATACAAGGTAGAAAGGCAACTGAGTTGTTACTGTCTTTAAAAACTGAACAGCTGCAGAAACAGTTACAGAAGGAAAAGGAAAAAAGACAAAAGCTGGGAAAAAAGGTCGAGATGATGCTCAGGCAGGTTCCCTGCCTGCCCCTCCCCCCCCAACCCTCGCCATCGTGCAGATCAGGAAACTAACAGTATCCCCTGAAGACTGGGGTGGGGATATCTGGGGTGATCCCAATGACAGTGAGCCAGAAGACGACGATCCTTTGTTCCCCACAAATCCTCCTGAATATGAAGCCAGGTCTGGCTGGTTGTTAAAGCAGAAAGAACTGTGGGACCTTGGGGTGGTCATCCGGGACATACTACACAAACCACCCCCTGGGTTCCATTACAAGTCACAAATTTGCAAGATAGATACAGCAGAAAATCAGGTGAAACTGAAACCGAGTGCTTGTGGTGCTAGTTAGAAGAGACACACTATTGCTGACTGTGCATATTTGATAGAGAGCTAACGGCATGAACAAGTTACCCGTTACCTTTCTTGTGACACATTCGTTATCGTCTTCTTCAAGGCCTCTTTGAAAGCTGAACTTGTGTGGGAGGGCAGATAAATACAGAAAATAATATTTTAAGCCAAAAATCTGCACTAGCACATTTCCAGGTAGCAGCTAAACAGCAGGACTCATAGCAGCAGGATTGTACCACTCTGACGCATATCCTCATTCCCTTCGAGTCCCCCATAGTTCAGTCCACACCACGGGCTCTTACTTCAAATTCTAAGATCTCCAGAGTAGAGGCTCTGCCATGGAAAGCACATAGATAAAGTAATGTTTCCGACAGGCTACACACAACAAACTTCAAAATAAGGAAAAGAATAAAGTAAAAAAAGCCCAGACAAACCCAGACAGACTACTAATTGTTATCTCCATACCAATCACAGCAGAGGAACACAATGCACAAGTCCATCCCAGCTTGCCAAGTTGCAAATGCTTGTCCAAACCAACATCTAAAAGCAATCTGCAGTAATTCTCTATAAAAATACTTCACTTTCAGTCAGCAGCCATGGGAAAGCCTTGAATTAGGCTATTCCCGCTGCACAAATACCTTTTGCACAGACTAAAAGAACTGCTAAGACCTCTCGCTTTTCAGCAGAATTTTTCCATATGATCCTTTGCAGACAGAAGTCACTTCTCATCGTACATCCACTTGGTAAGTTTTTCCATCTTCCACATTGTGCCCTTGGAGTAACACTACCAAGTGAGGAAAAGCATTATTTTTGATAGAAGTCTCTTCACCCTAAAAACCTAAAGCATTAGGCACATGCAAACGCTGCAAAGAATTAATACAGAAAATAGTTTATTTTCCACTCCAAGAGATTGCCACAGCGACATTTCACACTCATCAGAAACAAGTTTTAAAATAAAATACCAGACTGCAAAGCACATGATAAAGCATACATCCTGCCCTCAAAGAGCTGGAGACTTCTTCAGACAACATGTGCTTCCTAAAAAATACTACTGAATATGAAAAATCCCTTTATGTTTAATATTACCACATTTATTTTTGCAGTTCTGCAAACAAAGACCTTCTCTCCCAAAGAAACTTCTCCAAATACTGAGAGGCTTTACCTAAACAAAGATTTGAGGACTCTGTCTCATTACAGTATTTTACAGTAAAAACATCTGAAACACTAGTAGGCATCTTCCACCTCTCCTAAAAACCAAAGAGAGAAAAGCAGTGCCTCAGAACATCCAAAGAAAGTGAGGTGAGCTAATAAATGGCACAGGGTTCAGATCAGCAGGGCTCCACCGACTCACTGCCCTGTGCTCTTCAGGTGTATCAGGATTCATGATCACTTAGGCACAGTACAAGAAAGCTACCGATTGCCAGAAGAGATCTTCCTGTATTTGTATATGAAAGCATCTGTCTTTCCAAGACTAACTCCATAGACACCATCTGGCACCAGAGACCCAAAAGGCGTCTGTCTGCTGCTGAGGACGGATTCTTCAACACCATTCACCAGGGAGGAAGAATTCCCATCAACACTCAGGGCTTTTGCAGTGGCACTTTCACTTGCGCCATCAGAAATGGCATGAGGAGAGTCATTTTCAGCACCCTTGGTAATGCCATCCACATGCTTATGGAGCTCTTGGCTCAGCAGCAATACAATAGTGCCTCCAACACGAAGTACTCTGGCAATTGCAGGAAAAATAGAGGTTAGTTGTTCATCCTGCCTGGCATTTGTTCATCTGTGCAGAATTCAACACTACTGACACTTCAGACTCCAGTTGCATTCAATACGACAATTCAAAGACCAACGTCAGTAGACCCTAACTAAGGGTCATTCCTTAGTTCAGTAAGCTACGTCTCCAAATGGAATTTGAATTCCCTATCTTTGTAACTCTTCCTAAATGGGAGAACTGGGCCTTATCCTGACTCCCAAACATTTCCAACCTCAAGATTCTTTCCATCAGGTTAGCAAGGAAGATGAACTCAGTTTTCTCACTCTCAGTATTCTTCCAAGGATAAAGGGCAGCATCACCTTCAAAGACCATTTTTGGGCCGCATGAGCCTCCACCACTCTGCAAAGGAACAGCTTCCCAGTGCAGCAAGAGCTTTTCAGATAGGTAAGGCAATTCTGAAGGTGGCCTTTCCCTTTGGAAACTTTAAAAGGTCTGTCCTTTCTGTGTTCCACTGATCCTTAAAGGCTTTCAAACTCAGGAAACAGAGGAAAATTAGCCATTGTTTGTAATCCATTTTTCCTTATACATGAGCAACTCTACACTTGGCTTTGAAAGAAGAGGACAAAAGGACTATCCTGGCTCTGTACACAGCAAGTGAATTGAACAGTCTTAGTGGTGGGGCTCTCATGGTAATGGTCCCTTCCTCCCCTCCACCTTCCCAAAGAAGTATTTTGCTTAGGATGGCCCAACAGAGCAAATGAGACCATAAGACAAGCATGGTCAAAGGGAGGGATGGTCAGTGTAAGCTGACATAAGATTGCCCTGCCATTCTGTGGAGCTACCTCACCTTCCTCACCATCTTCCCACCACATTCCTGCACTGGGTGAGAGATCAACACAGCTGAAGACCAATCCTACAGAAGGGCTTGTTTTCAGCCAAGAAAAGAAATAAAGGGGCAGATGGCTTGAACTGCCCATTAGAAGCAGCCCACTATTAGCTTGGCTCAACCCTGCCACAAAATGACAGGGTGAGAGATGAAAGGAGGCATCTAAAAGCAGACTAGGTGGCTAGCTGGATATTCCAGCACACACTAACAGAAAGGAAAATGCATACCACCATTTTCTGGTCTGAGATCCTTTCAGCCAGGGCAGGCTGGTAAAAGTTTGGTTGTGAACCCAAAAGGAATGCCTAGGATTTTATACCAGCAGACCTCAACTGAGAAAGGATTACTGCTTTATTTGCCTGGCTATGCTTTAAGTTTGTCTAGGTCATCCTCTTCTCTTTCTCCTTTCTGCCTTGTAAAGAACATCTGTGAGTGTGGCTCACACAACAAGCTCATTCCTTGTCGGCTTGTGCTGCCATCAGCACTTCCACAGCTCTCAAGACAAGCCACAACAGCCTCTAAGGGACAAGTAAAGGACTCAAGAGTTTCACAGCCTGCACAGGATCAGATTGCAGAGCTGGAGAGTGCTTGGAATAAAGCAAACCTGAAGCTGAACACTTAGGATTGCAAAACATCGTGACATTTACACCAAACCCTAAGCACATCAAAGGCCACACGTACCTCTCCATTTCCTGGAGAATATCTGGAAGGAGCTGTATGTCTTTTGTGATCTTGAACTTCTTCCCAAACGGAATATCCGAAATCACAGCATCAAAGCTTTCTGAAGGCAACGGCAACGCTGCAGAATACAGGCAGGTCTTTACATCCAACTGTGAAAAACGAACACCAGCTATGCTCCCATTCACCTTACAAAACTGCCTGTCAGCTCTTCCATGGGTTATGCACCCGGATTCATAGCTCCTTCTGTAATTATCCTCACAAACGGTACTACAAAGCCACCAACCCATGCAGACTGGGAAGAGACAAATGCATGAGAGTGTGGTTTAGCTTGCAGATTCCCTGTTACTGGTGATGTTTGCCCCAACAGCACGACTCTCCGAAGAGGGGACTGCATGGGTCCAAACTAACTGCTGCTTCTCAACACACACTACATCTTTACAAGCAAAACACAAAAGAAGAGTTAAGCTTGCAACCACTTTACTTAGCACAGATGTTCAGATGCACACATACAAATGGCAAGGAACCACGAGTTAAATTCCTCACCATCCCTGTTTTCTCCCCCCAGGAATTCGGTTACAGCCAGAATCACTTGGATTCTTCTGGAGCTAGTATCTTTGAAGTATCTCCCCAGAGTTTCTGCATCCTGGGAATAGTCAGTTTTCTTAACTGTAAGGCAGCACTGCACCCTTGTGGCAATGAAGGCCAGCCACATACCAGGTTGTACTGGCCAGAGCATAGCCAGCACGTGAAAGGATGAGACTATAGGTTCTCCATCTCCATCCCTCAGGATGCTCAAAACTCGACTGGACAAGGCCCTAAGCAATCTGACCCAGCATTGCTGCTAGCCCCGCTCCGAACAGATGACAGCACTAAAAAGCCCCCGCGGTCCTTTCCCACCTAAACCCTGCTGTGATTCTATGCCAGCCTTTCCAGAACTGGGTGGAGATGGTTCTTGGCCTATCCTTGGAGCAACACTTGCAGCACAACAATTTTATCTACAAATGGAAGGACAAGTTATCTACAGTCCTTCTCAAAACATGCAGAAATAACAGCTTTGACCAGTGACAAAGGCGCCAATTATTTGTTCAGTATTAGAAAAGCCTGACATCAAAGTACCTTCCACTATCCTAGAAGCCAAGCCCAATCACAGCTTTTAAGTAAGAAATAAAGCTATATATATATTCTTACAAAAAAGAAATACTATTGCTTACCATTCTGGTAAGAAATTTATTTCTTACCATTCTGGTAAGAAATAAATATTGCAAGGTAAAAAAAAAAAGCATACTTTATCAACCACACACAAGAAAAACCAGCCAGCTTTCATCCGCGTAAGAAATAAATATTGCAAGGTAAAAAAAAAAAAAAAGCATACTTTATCAACCACGCACAAGAAAAACCAGCCAGCTTTCATCCGTCATTAATTTCATAAAGGACTAATTTAGATTCAGGCTTTGAGGTCCAGAACAAGGTCATAAAATTACTACCTTCTCCCCATAAGAGCTCATGAACTGAGAGCAAACAGATTCCCTCTTTCAGGAGAAAGGCATCATCATTTAAAATACTCTTACTTCAAAACACTAACAATTCAATGCCAAGCTTAATGAGTCCCCACTATTACTATTTTGGCCCATTGAAGTTACAAGCAACATTTTATCTGGCTTTGTCCCTGCTGTGTTCCCATAAGACACAAAAAACTCTCATATGGTATCTACTCTTTGTGACATTCACAAGTTTACCAAACTTCTAATGCCAGACAACTACTGCCCCTGTCTGACAATTATTATTTTCATTGTCTTCTCCTTAGTTTATTCTTGGCAAAGATTGGGGGTGGAGAGGGGAGAACAAATAATTATCCATTCACTAGCACTAGAGTCGCTAGTCAGCTATTTGTTGAGTACACGTCCCCCCAAGAGAACCTACATTACCTGTATAATCCCAGAACCACAAAAAATTTCACACACATCTCACTTGGAAAAGCTACAGACATACCTTTCACAGAAGCTTTAAGTAACTCAATCTTATCCACCAGGCTTGCCGTCCTAATATTCACATCTGCACCCTCTAACTGTGAATCGCTTATATCAGCACCCCAGTAACAGGCTTCCTGTTCAGAGAAAAAGAGAAAAGTAATTTAATTGACAAACAGGTGTATTTATTTTACAAACCCTTCACAACTATTCCAAGACAAACCTCTTCCTGGGAGATCTTGTACCATTACACAGACCAACACAGAGACCCAGAGGACAGAAGAAGGGGGGAAGTCTGTGCTGTCTTCACTCCTTTTGCGTTCTGGTCTGTTCAAGACACTTGTAACTTACAGAAATACTGAGGTTATGTTCTAACAGCAAAAGACCCCAGCTAGCTACAGACAGCCACGCTGCCTCTAATACTGACAACTGACTGTACTGTCACATCGACATCTCCATTCCCAGGATAAGACCAGGCATTTTTAGAAGTCCACAGTTGCTTCAACACAAACCCTGCGGTCTAAATACAGGGCTCCCAGCACCTGCCTGCATAAGCGCGTAGGACTTTTTACATTCCTGTGGAGGAACGTTCATACTAAAACACTTTTAACTGTCTAGAAAGATCGGTTTGGTTCCAGCTTTCCAGTAATGGACTTTGGTATAACTGTGGGACAGATTTGTCTTGATGCAGCTACAAGCCATCTTGCAAAGGTCCTGCCTACTGCGACTGTGATACTCACGGGCCACTCTTTGGCAGCTTCCAGCAGTATCGTTCCTAGCCCACACATGGGATCCAGCACAAAGGCACCTGCCTACAAAAATAAAGGGGTTATTGCATCCCAAGCAAGACAGACACCTCTCCCAGGACAAACCTTACTCAGGGATGTACAAATCACCTACACGCTCCCAATGAACTCAGTGTAGGTAACAATAATCACTGGTTTACCAAGCCAAACTTGCTTGTAAGAGAAGATAGTAAAAGGCATCAATAGTTTCACTAAAAACGATGCAGTGATGCATCTAGTCTTGAGGTGACATTTAGGGGAAAATACGAGTGGACTGCAGATGGATACTGGTACCAAATTCATCTGTGGAAAACATTGCACTTGCTTCCGTTTTCCCTTGGGAGAACAACCCCAAACAAGGTTTGAAGCCTGGACAGCGAAAAAATCTTGCCATTTAGACATATAGTCATACAAGGAATAGCACCTCTGCTGAGATGGACCTGGGATTACAGCAGATATCTGGTTGAACAGCAGGTGACAGTGCACTCTGGTAAGGCAAACCCTGCCCACATGCATTAGAGGATGGGGCATTAAAATCACCACACTTCTTCAAAGCTTCCAGCTCCAGGTCTGATGAGCAGCAAATCCCCTTTCATTCAGGACTCTGCATCTTTGCCATGAACATTCACTTACACTGATTTCAGCCAGAGATGCCATGGCCCACGCAATTGTTGACCGCAGTCCTGCTGTTTTGATATACTCTCTGTTTGCCAATGGAAGCCTGCAGACAGCAAAAAATCAACCACCCAGAAAAGCCCATGTAGTATGAAAGAACAAATGAACCGGACAGAACCAGACAGACAGAAACCACAGTCTGCTTTTATCCATAACCCACTGCAAAGTCTGGCCTACGTGCTCAGATAAGCTCCAGACAAACCACAAGACTAATGGGACAGTCCAGTGAATCTTAAACAAGAAGACAAATACTCAGAATGGACAGCAAGAGTATTTAGGAATTGCCAAGACAAATCTGGAAAGGAGAATGCTTACCTGAAAAGAGGAATCCCCACCACAGAGTGAACGTCATTAAGATGTACAAAGATCTGAAAGAGGGACAAAAATTGCATTAGAGACTCTCAGCCTGACATAACAATAGCTTTAAATAATTTAAACCAGACACAGAAGATGTTTCTATGAACTTCTGATCCTAGTTTTTAAGAACAAAAATACAAGCTTTAGACAATTCTGATTAATTGGAAGAAACCACGCTAGGTAATCTGAATGCCACTTCAAAGAGCATTTAATGTTTAAGCAAGCTGGGAGGGTAATTGTGTCAGCCAGGAATCCATCAGCAAGCACTTGAATCTCTAAGGGAAGCAGTTTTGTAACCTTGAGTGGATAAAACCATTTACTCTAAGAAGAAGATTATTCACTGTATACTAGCACTGAGCTATTCACACAGACACTTTTTTTTTCTTTTTAAAAAACATAAGGGCCATTTCTGATGAGAGGCAGACATAGGTAATCCTTCCAGAAATACAGGCAGCTCAAAGAAATTGCCCTCCTGTCCTATAGAGAGCATCCCAAAAGAAAACTGAACTCCCCAACAGGTCTTGCATGACTGCAATCCCTCCCCTGGAAGCCCAAAGAGAAACACGATGCTTTTGAAATATCCCAGTCCTCAGCACTTGAATGGTTTCAGAGCAAAAATCTGGACAAGAGCAAGAGCCCCACTTGAGGCTCCACAAAGCTGTATTTGATGTGCAGTCTGGGAAAAACAGAGCCAGTAGATGAACTCGTTGCTTTCACAGAAGGCCTCAGACCTCCCAGCATCATTGCAGAGAGCAGCTTCCATGTGCTAAGCACAGGGATGGAGAGACAGCTTGTCAAGAGCAATGAGTCCTTTCCAAGCTTGCACCACGGAGGGTGCCTTAAGCAAGCTGCTTGTCAGGGACAGGGTCTAGGAGAAGGCTCTTCCATAAACGGGATTCTCAAGTTGAATTCATTAGGAATATGACCTTGCTGCTCGTTCTTTTCCCCTACAGAGGCTAAACGAGCTGCCCAATGGCTCAGGTTCATTTCAACACATTCAGTGTCCAGCAGTTTGTAAGCATGCTGGATCCTGAGACATCGCCTGTATGGATCCTTCCCCTCTCGTACAGGCCCACGCTGGCTGTTCTGCTATTTAAGTGCTCTGGAAGGCATGCGCACGGTGGCTACCAAAAAGCTTTGCTTAGCACTACTGGATGATTTCTAGTTAAATTTGGCAGAAGACAGACAAACAGGGAGAGGCCACAGTCCCACGTGTAAAGGGAGCAGAGAACAAAACCAAAGATATCAGACACAATTCTGGAAACAGCAACAGGCCATCTGGCAGACAAACACCACTACCTCTAGATCGGGGTCCCGCAGATCAGCCCGCCACCCACACTGCTTCATGAGTGCTATGCCGATGGCTCTTCCAATCTCCTGCAAGGGGGAAGAACAGTCACAGGGGGTAAAAATAACAGAATTAAG